ATTGGGACTATCCAAAAAAACGGGAAGCTCATTTCCTATTAAGCCTTTTAGTTTGGACCCAAATTTTGTCGAAATATGTTGAAATAGATAGAAAACGATGGGGAATCTAACAGACTTGATTTTGGAGATCCACAGAAGGTTTCTCGAGGGTCTCCAGAACACTTTTTAGCAAAAAATCGGGTTTTTGACGTCCTTTGTGATCTGAATTGCCTTGTAAACGCACACAAATTGATTTTTTATTTTTTATCTATCTTTTAACTGTTTGACACGCCGAACAGTTTCGGCAACAAAAAGCTCAATAAAATAAACCAGATGGATAACATCTTCATCAGACAGGCGCTTTGCTATAAGATTACAACATTGTGAACGGCGTTTTGAAAGTGCAGGCATAGCAAAACGGTACGAGAAACGGACAAAATGAAAAAAAAGACATCAATCTGAAAGTAACTAAGATGCAAATAAACGAAAAAACATACAAAATATCAGAAGACATGCCAAAATCTGATGTTTTGCTAAAAAGTATCCTTGAGACCCTCCAGAAACCTTCTTGAGATCTCCAGGATCATGTCGATTTGCTTTTCAAAGTTGTTTATCGACATTCGAGGGGGGAGTCAGGGACGGCCATAATGGACAGCCCTTTGACTTCAGATCCCATATAATATCATTTTCATACTCAGTTTTTCAGGCTGAATCCAGAAAAGATACTTTCAAAAAGTTAGAAGATACCAAAAATTTTAACGGTTTTGTAAACTGAAGTGTTTGTTGAAATTTTGGATCCCTGACGTTTTTTCAATTTTTTACACTATAATATTTTAAAAAACATAAAACACATATTCTTGATCATCTCGACAAGCGCTATCTAATCATGTGTAATTATCGCGAAAAATTTTTTTGTTGAACTATTGAATTAGCGACGTTTCATAAAATATTGTGCAGACTTCTTGTAGGAAATTTCAAGGTCTTTACTACAAAAACTGACTGGTGGAAATATAAGAAAAAAGCTGTGATTAAAAAATTTTACTTCATTGATATATAATTAAGTCAAAAGTAATCAGCTACTCATGGTTACGCATGTTTCAATGTAAAAGGCATCTGCTGGGGAGATACTTCATCGAAAAATACTTCTAATAAAAGAAAAAAAAGAAGTGCTATGAAATGACGACGGAAGCGGAGAAAGATGTTTTTGCGTTCAACAAAATCGGATATCTTTTCAGCTGATAAAGATGATGGGTTTCACTTTCTTGTCGATGCCACACGTTCATACTATAAAATAAAAAAAAGTGAGAAAGAGAGAGAGGAAAAAGTGAGTTTGTGACATATTGTTTCAATTCATTGTTTGTTCTTCTGCTTGTATTATTGTAAAATTTATCTAAAGAAAGGAAATTGAAAGGTATTGTTTCTTAAAACAAAGTTAATTTCTTAATGAATGTATACGTAAAAAGATTATTTCTAATCTTTCTTCTAATGTATAGGAAAATAGATGAACAGATATGTTTCGGTTGTAGAATACTATATAACAGACATGCTTCTTGACAAAAAATGTTCCCCTATTGCACTTGATTGTTGTCAGTTCAATATTTAATAAATGAACATAACAAATCATTACCAATAAAACAGGTACCTTAAAGTCGGTACCATTCACAATTCGCGACCGATTTGCTCATACTTTACACTATTATAGGATGGATACGACAACGATTTATCTTATTGCTGATTGTTATGCATTGCCAGATAAAATTGAGGTTGTACGACAAATATTAGAAAGCTTAATTGAAGTATCCCGTAAAGAAGTCGGTTGTATTCGATATGAATTATTTGAAAATCTTCAGGATAAAACACATTTTACAATTATTCATCGATGGCAATCGGAAGATATTGTCGAAAACCATTTTACAGCCAAACATACTTTAAAGGCTACTGAGATGTTAAAAGACATATTAGCAAAACCGACTGATGTTAGACGATATACGTGTTTAGCGAAAGATGATAGAACAATAAATAAAACTAAATCATATAGTGGTTTTTGTTGCACTCTTTAAATTAATCAATTATCTATTATATATGATGATGTCTTTTTTTAAAATAAAAATTGTTAAAGCTTGTCATCGGATTTTTTAAGAGACAGATGAGTAGTATCTCGCCACTTCCGATAATCTCAAAAATGAATGGATGATAGATAATCTACAATGACTTTGTGACAGTGTTTGTTTTCAAAGATATCCCTGATTTGGGTTGCTCTTCTTGATAACAGTCGAAAAAATATAGCACTTGTGTCACATGGCTTGGAATCCCGACTACATCACCTTCTACTGGATTTCTCCAGCTATTGATGAGATCATACTTTGAAAGTTTGAATTAATTTGAATCAGTTTTGGTTGATGTATGAATATTTCATTATTCAGTGAAAGTATCCTAAAACTGGATGGATATTTTTTGACCTATTTACCGGGTTCTTCAGTCTCTTTTAAAAAAACAAGCATTGCCGCAAGATTTAGCGTGGTCGACGATCTATTTTCCTTCCATTCTTAAGGTAGTTACTATGCTATAACTCTCTAGTTGTCGTCTATCCAAAGCTATTCAAAAAATGACTGAATCCACTGTTTTTTTACCCATAATATTTATTGTATTTTTAACTTCATAAGTAACTTCATAAGTCGTATACTGAAAAATGTTGATTTCCCCCAAAACAGGATGTCAATAAATCACAAATTTCTGACACAAATTTCTTCATTAAAACGGCTTGTCCAGCTAACGGTACCCTTTTTCAAAAAATTAATAAGTATTATTAAATAATATTATTGTAATAAGGCTACAAACTAATCTAAAATTGCAACTAGACGATTGAGTAGATTAAGCATTTCTCTATAAAATGAAAAGTGGCTGGGCTCTGAACGGTGATTCGTTATAGAAATACGGCTGTTGTACAACCAGTCCAAAAGATCGATTTGCGGTCTATCTGAAAAACGTGTCTGAAAGAGTGAAGACGAACTCGCGAAGAGTGAACAAGTATACCAGTTTGTAGAAAATTGTTTGCTCTACAAAATGTGATAGCTTTTCAAGTTCGAAACTATTCTAATTAATCTGTATTAAGGGTACCCCCTCCCCCTCTTTTTTGCAAAAAAGTTTTCATTTTGAGCTGAACATAGTCTAACGTAGAGGAAAGTCTGGGCTATAAAATGAGACCATTCCCAGCTCTCCGTGACCTTCCCTGAAAAAATTATGAACTTTTTAAGTTTTTCCTTCACAGTCTAGAAAATCTTAATTTTTTAGGTTCGTAAATCTTTCTCTCCTTTCTTATATATTTAAAATTTTTCTTGTATATAGCATGATGGAAGAAAGTGTGCTCGTCAAAATGAGATGTTTCCCAGAATTTTCCAATGAGTTTTCTTGGAGATATAAGCATAGCCGCAAATGCCCTGAAAAAACAGAGCCCTGTGTACAATATATGTTTTTCTCACTATGCGTTTTTTCCATAGTCCCTTCCATCCAGTCACATTATGACCGTCGAAAAAATGGTCCCATCGAGCTCAAAATTTTACCACAGATACTTCAGATCCTGTCCCAAGTTCGTTTTTTTAAAAAGCGTTTTCGATTTCAACTTTCAATGTGAGAAGGTTTTCAAAATGAAAACCCGGTTTTTTACATGGGGTGTCCGACCCAACGCTTTTTTTATTACCAACTCTGAACGAAGTTTGTCGGGTACAAGAGATGGCCTGAAAGCGAGATGCGAATCCAGAGTAAATTATCATGTGCTTATTCGCTTTTCTTCACTGAAAAACAACAACGTTTCGAGAATTGAAACCATTTCTAAACCTTTTTAGGCTTCGTACGAATCGACAAAACCTTAATAAGGATCCATGAAAAAGGTTTCATGGATCCTTATTAAGGTTTTGTCGATGCGTACGAAACCTAAAAAAGGTTTAGAAATGGTTTTAATTCTCGAAACCTTTTTTAAGTTCCGTATTGTATCATTTTTTTTCAGTGTTGACGAAGGACGGTCAAAGATTCAAGGTTCATTTAATCTGATTCTATGCAGAATTCAATTCTTTATTAGACACATTAGGAATAATTTTTCAGACACTGCAAGTTTTGTGAAGAAAAATAGATTCTTTCCCAAAAGTACAAATTTTAAAACTAATTTTTCAGCCTGTCCAGCTAACGGGCACTTTTTATTACTCTTTTTCAAAAAATTATTGTAATAAGGCTACAAACTAATCTAAAATTGCAACTAGACGATTGAGTAGATTAAGCATTTCTCTACAAAATGAAAAGTATCTCAGCGCTGAACGTTGATTCGTTATCAGAATACAGCTGTTGTACAAACAGCCCCAAAAATCGATGTTCAGGCTGTCTGAAAAGCGTGGCTAAAAGAGTGAAGACGAGCCCCTGAAACAGGAAGAGAGATTCAAAATACTTATTGGAGAACATTGTTGCCAACTAACTCGCGTATTACTCATATCGTTCAGCTTCATTAAGCTTCGTAGTAGCCAGACGTAAAAAATCTGCTGTGCGTATATCCAGGAAGAAAATTTTCATGTTTTTGCCTTCTACGGCGACACTCACAAGCGTTTTTTTATACATTTATGTTTCGAAAATAATCTTAGAACGAAGAGAAGCTTACTCGAATCTTATTAAGATCTTAGTAGAATTACGCTTACGTTTTTCTAAGATCTTACAAAGACATAAGCTACTTTGTCTATAGTGCTTTAAGATCCGATTAGTATTTGTTAAGATCTTATACGAATTATTATGTTTTTTCAAAAGAATTACTCATGACTTGTTAAGAATCTTTGTATAGCTTAATAACTTTCTTCTATAGAAGTCTGGCTTGAGTCTACTATCCTACATCATTAAAAATTGTAGACTAAACAGACCTGAAGAACGAGAGAAATTTCATATTTTTATACTTCCACTTCTGGCCGTTGACTTACAGTGTATACACTCCTAAAAGTTATAGAAGATTTTCGATAAATCAAATACGAGCAAAGCCATGCAGAAAAATATATTGTCAAATTCAGTTAGATTTTGTTGTTATTTATACAGCTCTATAAGAGGACTAATTATACAAAAAACAACTATTGAATTCATACAGTACACAAATAATCACGATTATCTTTAATCGTTTAATCGATTAAACTACTAGTGTAATCGCTACTTTAATCACCATTATTTTGAAAATCATGGGTGAAATAACCGCCTCTATCGAAAAAAGGCCCATAATAGCGACGCAGCGCTTGCATATGACTGCTCAACTGCAATAAACTAATCAGTCTGAACGTTGTTTTGCATACTAATGAATTTTTCTGTCATTACTATACTCTTTTACAGATTAATAAATAAATAATTAATAATAATAATTGTTTTATTAAAAATGACCACGCAAACGAAGGCAAAAAGATCGTGGTGGTCTGAGGAAGGACAAACTTGCTGTTAAATTTGTTAAAAGATGAAAAGATATCGAATGAAATAGCAAGTCATTGGAATCGTGGCGCCCTGACAAAAATTAGAGGAAGGTTTATTAGCAGCCGGTATCAACAAACCTACTGATTAGATTAAAGAGGATTACTGTATTCATTTTAACTTTGCCAATACAAAAATGAGTTCTCTCGTACGCACTGAGTATTTATAGTAATGGCTATCACGCGTTAAATCACGGTTATTTTTTTAGTCGTGATTAGTGCAATCACACACATTTCTGTTCAACGCCATTAAATATCGTTAATCATAATCCAAAAAAACTGCGGTTGCTCTCAAAAATGCTTAATCATGATTATTTCCGTAGTGTAACCGTGATATATAGTCAGTAAGAAAGAGTTGAACAAAATAAAGTAAAAATTCGCTGTCTTGTGTAACTATATGTCATAGTTCTGACTGAGAATTAACTGAACTGTAGAGAAAAATGCCTTATTTTTCTTTAATCCTTTTCGTTTTTGGGCTTTTAAAACTTGAATAACCTTCAGGCACAGTGATACAGAACGGTCTATACCGTTGAATCAATCGTCATATATCCCAATTGGTCAGTCCGATTTTGAGGAAAATTTTATCACGAGTCAACCTTTGAAAGTAGACATTCCGCTGAGAATTTCAAGACAATCGATCGTGTGGTTGGCGACAAGACCTTTTATTGCCAAAATGTCCCGTCATCAAATCAAAAAATAGAATCAGTGCATTTCAGTTTAGGAACGTTCGTTTTTCTTGAGATGCCGTTCTATGACATTTTGAAAGTAAAACGTTTTCCAACTATGTTTCAGTTGAAAAAAACTGATTTTACCTATGGCAAAACTTCAGTTTCCGACTGCGAAGACCATTCGATTTTTCTTCTGCAAAGCCCTTTTAAGCTGTCGCTCAAGTCATCTGAAGCACTGGTGGTGTGAAGAGTCGTATTCCTATGAATCCAAGTCCGCTTTCGCGACTCATTCTCCACCGCGATCACTATGATATCCCACATGTCGCGCCGCGATCGTGATGGAATCTTATATTCGCGTTGGGATCGTGTTAAATTCTTAGACTCGCGGCGTGATCTTGATCAAAATCTTATTTTCAAAAAACATTTTTTTTAAGAATCGCTGCGTGATGTGTAATAGCGTCGTGATTGCTATAATGTTGGGAAGTCACAACGTGATCGCTGTACATCCGGGATCTCGCAGCAGGATTCTAAATTTTACATATATTCTTAAAAGTTCAGTACAGTTTTTTCTTAGCGCGATCACTGCCATGTCTCTAGTTCGCGACACGACTCGCACTAAGATAGAAAAACTGCTGAGGATCATTAAAAGTAAAGGAGTTTTAAAAAGTCGCGCCGTGACTCACGTCACGTAACTGAATTTTATTGGTGGATATAGTAACTGTCTTTTTAGATTGCAAGAACGCAAAAGAAATTCTTTTCTCGGAATTTTTGCAGTTTATATCTGCTTTTTTCACTTTTCAAAAGGAAATCACATAAAAAATAAGTAATATACAAAGTAAGTATACAGTAGTTTCAACACATGAGTGAGTATGGAAATATAAATCCTTTTCACTTTTGTTGTTACAAAGCTGA